TGTTTTGAGAATCTAAAAATTTTCCAGAATGTTTTCTCAGAATGCTGGAAATGCCATTTCAGAGACCCCCAAATTTTAAAAATTTTCTGGGGGAGTATACCCCCGGACCACCCTAGAAATCTCGCGCCTTCGGCGCTCGTTTCGCCATTGGTTAGCACCCCCCCCAGAAAAAAAACAACTTTGCTGGATCCACCACTGAAGCACAAAATACCTTTATGCAACATATTTTATTTTACTTTAAATTCTAATGCTAGAAGATTTTACTCATGGAACATTGGAAATTAATGGGGGAAGGTGGTTCATAAAAACATAATAACACTGTCTTCTGAGTCCAGCAATGCAGCTAGTGGAGTACACTGTATACACCACAGTATGTGTGTATTTGCGTTGTCGTGATTTTCTGCCGAAATGTTTTTCAATAGAAAAGTTAAGGCTACAAGAAGCACAATACTGACTATTTTTTAATAGAGACTTATTGCCACTGCTGCTATTACACTGGGAGAAGCAAAATTTTTTTCCCTATATGGAGAAATTATGTTGTTTTTGCGTATAGGTTCAAGTTTTTTACTTGTTTTTCCAAAAATGCAGCAAAATTTTTGTGACTCTGATATATGAATTGGAACAAAAGAGTCCGCTCAGAACGCAGGAAATCGCATTTCCGAGGTCCTAGATTTCAAAATTTCCCGGGGGAGGATACCCCCGGACCCCCCTACAAATGCGAGATCTTATGTATGAATCAGTCGGCTCAGGAGCTGGATCCGCCCCTGTACATCAAGGAATTTGTAACAAACCCAAAACACATGTACCGTAGCAACAATTGCTAATTAGCAGTAATTGCTAATCGACATAATAAAGTGGCAGGGATCGTGGGGCGGTTCGTATGACATTCAAAATAAAGATATTCGTAAAATTGACAAAACACACTGTCAGACTGCTGGAGAATAGAATGATACCCCGATAATTTTACTATAGGAAGGAGGGGTTTCAATTCTGCCAAGGAATTTGGTCAATTAGATTTGTGCGTATTAAGTCGATAAAGGAACGATGAAACTCTGAGGTGGAACGATATCAAAGCAGGTTATGTAACACGTACTGATCTCAGTAACACAACTCACCTCTCTGTCTTTCTATGAAATCAATAGGACGATTGCATTCTTTGGAAGTACAACGATCACATACAACATCGCAATCAGGTTCATAATGCTCTGAATTTACGTCACAATGATTGCAGTTAAATGTAGCTAGTAAGAAAAAAGAGAGAAACTTTTCAAAGGCATGTATATACAAGCTTGTCAAGTTGTCGACACATTGTACAGTACGAATATAATTTTGTTTCAATAAGCTGTCATACAATACTGTTACTGATAGCGTTTTGTTAATGATGTGTAGCTAGGTTTTGAAAGACAGAACTGAGAAAATTGTAAATTGTAAAGGCCATCACCATTCCAACCAACCATCATTGAAAAGAGGGAAGTGGGATGGTGATTACCATACATTTAATAGGGTTTGTTGGAAAAGCTTTTAGCCACCTTTTAGACACTAGTTCAGCAAATTTGTGTTTGTTTTAGTAATTTTAACTTTATTTCCTGTATTTGTTTTTAGTAAATATCGCTTTATTTCCTGTCTTTTTCGGGAAAATATTTTGAACTATATAAAGGACTCATTCTATGCATGCTAAGTGCGAATATTAGTTAAGAAAAATTATGAAAGGGGCTGTCCACAACACGCTTGCAAATTATTACCGGTCATCGAACATTGTCCGATCAAATATTACCTTTTGTTCGACCAAACCTTAATTGTTATGACCGGACATATGACCAATCCATTTAAGCTAGCCCTTTTAACATATTTTTATTAATGAAACAGAATACCTGCATGTCCTCTACATGATTGAGGGCATTTCTGGAATTCCGGACAGAGAATTCAATGTTGCATTAGGGGCCTCTGATTAGGGGCGGACCATTAGAAATCCCAGGAGGTGGGGGGCTATAAAATTTTGGCCGCGCGATTTTTTTTTCAGTCTCATGTCTCTGCAGGATTTTTTTTATGCATTTAACCTCTGCAAGAATTTTTTTTCAAGACTATTTACACTTTGCTGTTTGCTTGCACGATTTTTTTCTCTGACGTAATGGCTGCACGAATTTTTTTGGGGGAATTTTCACACCCCTCCCCCCTCCCGGGATTTCTAATGGTTCGCCCCTTAGGAAAGGTTACGTTCTAGATGCAGTGCAGTGCAGTGCAGTGCAGTGCAGTGCAGTGCAGACCAACATGACCAGCCGAACTACATCATGCTTATTTTTTTTTTAATTTCACTTTGTCAATTGTCCGAGCACTTTTTGCTTTGGTCGGACATTGGTCCTTATTTACAGGCCTGCATGAAGTAAGGATACAAATTGAACGTTACCTTCCATTAACTTTGAAGCTATCAAAAGCTTTTCAAGTGTCAGCAATTCAGTGGGAATACCCCAGTACATTTCTACTTCACGTATTTTATTATGAACAGAATTTTCAACGTCGTCGCTTGAAAATTGACTTTCGAAATCGTTTAGATCCATTCCCATCAGGTCCACGATAATATCGCTTAAACGTAGCTCCTTTAGATCATCCAAAGACAGATTGCCAAAGAATACTCCGAGGTTTTGGAGCTGAACGTATTTTGTGAAGACATCAATATGGTTTGTTGAAATAATCTGTTTTAATGAATCATCTGTGAGGTTTTTAGCTATTTCGTAAGAGTAGTCCCTTACGATTTCTTTCAGTTTGTGCAGTTCATTAAAGCGAGCACCAGGTTGCAGTTTTTTCAAAAAAGCAACAAGTTGTATCAAACGGGATACCTTCTTCTCCACCAATTTCCCCTGGTTGATTTCTCTTTGAAGTTTCTTAAATTTGATGTTGGGCATCAAAAGTAAAGAGGCAACCGTTCTTCGAAGCAAAAACGCCATTTCATCAACAGTCAGGTTCAGCCTTTTGCCAAATTTCTTTAATGTGTCATTGTTAACGCCAATATATGAGCCAAGCCTTGCTATATCAAGGAAACTTTGGAATGTTTTTGACTTGCAAGTCTTTTTGACATCCCACTCGAATGCGATAGCCACGTCACTAGGGCTTGCGATTTTTAGCACGGTGATTTGTGATGGTACTAATGCCCATGTTCTGACTATATCAATAGTTGTGACATTCGGATGAGCAAACTGGATTATAGAATAGATGCTACAAGAACATAGCTGAAAGTAGTCTTTCGATGGATTTTGCTTGTAGATGTCCTGAACAGTCATCCTTTCAAAGCGCCGCAGACGTAAATCATGGCCTAAGGTAAAAAAAGAGATTGAATATTTTAGCTCTTAGACCTTATGCAATGACATCAAAAGGCGTAATGCGCACGGGGAATTCTGGTCATAGTAGTTAATTAAGACGGGAAAGCATTCTAACATCACTGTCATGAGTGAGTGTACTGCTGTTCTTTGTCGTTTTTCAGAGCTGTTCAAGCCAATGAAGATCCTAGTTCTTTTCAGAATTCTTGCACAGGGCCGGCGCTAAAGCGGGGGTGTTACACCCCTCCCCCCCCCCCAGTCATCAAGTAGTCGGCAAAATATCGAATGCCAAGTCGGTAAAACATGGATTTGGATAGGAAGAGTGACATCGATTAAAAATTAAGAATGATAGCTGACAAATTTAAGAAAACATTAGGGAAAAATGGAACGAACAACGGTGGTTAAATACAAAATAGGATTGACAAAAGTTGAAAATTTTTTTGCGGCCGCTATTGTTTCTTTTATTCGACGAAAAATGATAGCCATGCAACCCCCCGATCCTGTTTTCCCGACACTCGTGTATTTCATTTAAGTTGATACAACGTAGTTGATACACTAATCAAACCTTTATTTTGTTAATCGTGGGCTTGAAATGGCCGGTGTAACAATTCGTAGCTGCCAACTATCATCATAGTAACAATAGAGAGGTTCAGATTTGACTTCCACTACCTCTCACTGGCATAGTACGCATCTGATTGGTTAATCGGATATGTCAAACGCTTCTGATTGGTTCATGGTCCCTTAATGGTAGCGGTTGTGGAATTCAAACCTGAACTTCTCTAATAAGATACAGTAACAACAACTTTAAGATTATCAGTAAGAACAACAATCGCAGAAAAATATATTCAACGTTAACAATGCTCGTAGGTGCGAACTATAATGACTATAGTGACAATAGCAATGTATAATAACATTACGAGATCACATTCGCTGGGAAATAATAGAACAACAATAAGATACGGTTGAAGGAGAGTCTGTAGTTAAATCATTATTTAAAATCATTATTTATTATTTTCCTAACTGTCATCTGACCATCCCACCACTTCAGACAAAGACAATTATCTACTCACCTGACATAATTTTATGCAAAAAAGGCATATACTTCGAGACGTTTGAGTATACACCATATTTATTGGGTCTTGCGCAACCAATTCCCCAACTAACTAAACCACGTACACTCCATGTATCATCACCGTTATCACATTGCAGAGGTCCACCGCTATCTCCATAGCAAGTATCGTTCAAACCTTCAGAGAAACCCGCACAGAAATATGTCTCGGGCACGCTTCCATTATACGATATATTACTGTTACATTTGTCGTGGGGTATTACATTCACGCGAAGTTGCTTCAACGCTCTTGGTCGCTTGTATTCCAGCCTGTCCTCTGTATTCCCCCAACCGACCGCATAGCAACGTAGGTTGTCCGTATTTCGTAAGTTAGGACTTTTCGGCAAGCAAATCTGATGTAGAGAAATACATTTCATGGTGTAAATAAACCACGCAAAGTGTTTAATATATCGTTCTGTTTTTTTTTTGTTTTTGTTTAGCAGTAGTAGCAGTAGTAGCAGTAGTAACAATAGTAGCAGTAGCAGCAGTAGCAGCAGTAGCAGCAGTAACAGTAGTAGCAGTAGTAGCAGCAGTAGCAGCAGTAGCAGCAGTAGCAGCAGTAGTAGCAGTAGCAGTAGTAGCAGTAGTAGCAGCTGTAACAGTAGTAGCAGTAGTAGCAGTAGTAGCAGCAGTAGCAGCAGTAGCAGCAGTAGCAGCAGTAGCAGTAGTAGCAGTAGTAGCAGTAGTAGCAGCAGTAGCAGCAGTAGCAGCAGTAGTAGCAGTAGCAGTAGTAGCAGTAGTAGCAGTAGTAGCAGCTGTAGCAGTAGTAGCAGTAGTAGCAGCTGTAGCAGCTGTAGCAGTAGTAGCAGTAGTAGCAGTAGTAGCAGTAGTAGCAGCAGTAGTAGTAGCAGTAGCACTACCAGCAGTAGCACTACCAGTAGTAGCAGTAGCAGTAGGGAGCTTTAGATTTGACTACGAGTACGACTACGAGTACGAGATTTAATCGCGTGCGAGGAAATTACCGTAGTCGTTTTCGTTTCCATTTAAATGT